TCACAGGTTCTCTCTGACAGGTTACAGTCACTCAGTCTAAAAAAAAAAGTAATAATTGAAACCATCTTCAATGTTGACACAATACAAGACAATTTACAGTTTAATAAATATAGACTGTGGGACAAAACGCAAAACAACTACTTATATTTGCTCACAGAAACACAAAATTACATCTCTAAATTTAAACAGAAACAAGTTAGGAGCTGATTGATTTTGTGTCATTAGTTTAGTACTGAGTGGCACAGGCAGAGCTGTGGTCAGAAATTCATATCTGTTGATCTGTGGGGCAGCGGTACCTCGGGGCATATAGCAGGTCATCTGCTAATCAGAAGGTTGGCGGTTTAAACCCTTAAATTCAGTTTGCATTCAATCGAAATATCCCTGAGCAAACTACTCACCCCAAGTTGCTTTCCGATGGATCCATTGGAGTATACATGTTAGATAGAAAGCACTTACATAGAAAAAGCACAGAATTGTTTGTGAATAGGGGGATGAGGAAAGTTGTATATTGCACTTTGAGTGCACAGGCCGATTAGAAGAGTGTTACATAAAAACGAGTCTATTTAGAATTCGTCATGATAATTTTAACTGTTTTTTTTTTCAGAGTACAGCCACATAACTACAGCAAACATCTTTAACAATGTTAATAAACAGGAATTAGAATTATTATTATGTAATTAATAAATACTTTGGATTTTATTTAACCCTTAGATGCACACGTGGGGTCAAAAATGACCCCACGGGTTGTTTTTCTTCAAAATCTTTAAAATGAAAGTTGTAATATATTCATATTCCAGGTATTCCTCATAAAATATGTTTGTAACATGAGGCCATTTGCATTTTTATTTACTTTTTCATTAATTTAAAGAAAATGCTGTTTTTGTATCACTACCCCACTCTTCCACAAGTGGGGTCAGAAATGACCCCAAGCAGTTCCTATGGAATCTTCTATGAAACTTTCATTCTTAGCAACTCTGACTGTCCAACTTACACTTCTGATGGATCAAGAATTAATTTTTACATAGTAACATACACGATTTATAGCCAGGGCTGCACATAAGTGGTCTGCAGGTGGACATTGGCTGTCAAAAAAAAAGTATTCCCAGAAATTCAGAGAATACACGCTTCTTTTGCGGTGGAGGAACACCAAAGTAATTGCTTAAAGAGCTTGCTTCTTCGACATCTTTAGAGTTCTGAACAAATGTCTGTCCTCCTCCAGAACATCTTATGTACGCAAACGAGCATTCCAACTTCTTATCTGGTGCACGTCTTTTATTTTGACAGCAAATGCGCACCTGCGGACCATTTTTGTACAGCCCTATTTGTAGTTTCCTGTGCATTTCAAAAATTGTCCTTTCTGATGGATTTTTTTAAATATCTAAAGTAACATGGCTGCTATGAGGCCAGCAAGGATCCCTGTGGACCTTGCCCTACAAATGATCCAGGACGGATGGGATGAAGAGCCCATCGGAGGCATTGACTCGGACATCGGACATCTCAGATATAGAGGACACAGACTATTGTCCCCCCAACAAGGCCAGTCAGACACAGAGGAGTCCTCTGATGAGTCCTCTGAAGAGGAAATGGATATTGCGTCCAACAGAATAAGCCCCTCTTACTGCTCTAGCCACAATATTTTGAATTAGTCAGCCAGGGCTTGCACCTGGGTTTAGTACTGTCTCCCCAATAGATGGGTGGAAGATGTTCATTTCTGATAATATAATAGAAGAGGTGCTGACATGCACAAACATGGAGGCATGAAGAGTAGCCACAGACAGGGGAAAGAGTGGAAAAATGTAATCAAACAGAAGCTCCTGGCCTTCATTCGATTGACCATTCTTGCAGGAAGTGAGAAGAACTGGGATGTACCAGTTGGTGTGCTTTTTGGGAGTCCTCTGCATAAACCATTGTTCAAGGCCACTATGTCAATTCAAAGATTTGAAGATATTCGCCTGTCTTGCACTTTGATGACAAGAGGACCAGAGCCTACCGACTGAAAACAAACCACGTGGCAGCTTTCCGGTACTTATGGGGCCTGTTCCTGGTCAACTGCAGGCAGAAATTCATGCTCAGTGATTGTGTTACATTGGATGAACAACTTGTGCCTTTCAGAGGGAAGACCCAGCTTCTGCAGTATATGCCAAGCAAGCATACAAAAGTGATAGAAGTGATACAAAAACTCCAATTTCTTAAAATTAATGAAAAAACTAATAAAAATGCAAAGGGCCTCATGTCACAAACATGTTTTATGATTAATACCTCAAATATGAAAATATTACAACTCTTCGTTTTAAAGATTTTGAAGAATAACAACCGAGTTTATAGCAAAATGCATTGATTTTATTTGGGGTCATTTTTGACCCCACTCGTGGAAGAGTGTAGGTATTGGTAGGTTGTGCATCCAAGGGTTAATCCACAAGGGTCAGAATTATACATATAGACTAAAAAATAGATATATACCCCAACTAAATTATTTATCCTTTCTGTCTCCCCTCACCCCGAAAAGGTCACAGCAGGTGGCTGCCCCTCCCAGAGTCTGGTTTTGCCTGAGGTTTTTGCCTGTTAAAGGGGAGTTTTTCCTTCCCACTGTCACCAAAGGACTTGTTCACAAGGGGTGATCTGAATGTTGGGAATTTCTTTTTTTTTCTGCCACTATTTAAATAACATTGAATTTCACTAAATTGGCTTAACTTTTTCTGGTTGCACTTCAACCAAATGTTTTTGCTTAATTCTGTCTGGATAGTTGACCACTCCTCTTCACAGAATTAGTTGAGTTAAATAGTCTGCTAAATGGCCTGTATTTGTATAGCGCTTTACTTAGGCTACATTCAGACTGCAGGTCTTAATACTCAATTCCGATTTTTTGATCAAATCCGATTTTTTTTGTCCGCTTGTTCACACTACAAATACAATGTGACTAAATGTGACTGTGTGAGTAAATGTGCTCTAGTGTGAACCCTCAAAGCGGCCCGCATGCGCAAAAGAAGACATCACACACAACCTGCTCTGTTTAGACCCAGACCAAACATTATTGTTTGACTGATGGCCCTTAATATAAAGGCTTGTTTCGGACTTAACTTTTCCCAATTTTTCTTTAAGTTGTGAAGTTATTGTGTTATTTACATATGGCCTAATAATTATCCTTATTGCTGTTTTAGAGGAGCGCTGCTTCAAAGGATAGTTGCAGATTTCTGTCAGAATCTGCAGATTATACAGTACAAATAAAATGTTCACGTTTCTCCAACGTTGTCTTCCCAACAGTTTCACTAACATCTACACGGGATGGCCAGGAAGCATTCACGATGTTTTCTTGGGCGCTGGTAATTCCCGACTGTCTTGTGTCAGTGACATAAAAGATGGATTTAATGCGACATGACCATTCAAACAGCAGTTGCTTTCTAAAACATCAGATATGTATTGGATTCAGTACCACATACGAAAGTAATCCAGATCGGATTTGAAAATATTGGATTTGTGCCATTCACACTGTCATACCATGATCGGATATAGGTCGCATAGGGTCGAAAAAGTCGGATTTGATGTGCTTTCGCCTGCAGTGTGAACGTAGCCTTAGTCCCTAAGGACCCCAAAGCACTTCACACTACATTCAGTCATTCACCCATTCACACACTCGTGATGGCAAACTACATTGTAGCCACAGCTGCCCTGGGGAACACTGATAGAGGCGAAGCTGCCGGACACTGGCGCCACCGGGCATTAAGAAGGCCATTTCATAAGCTAAATGACTCATCATTCCAAATGGTCACTGAAAAATCTAAAACCTGTCTGATCACCATTTAAACAGCCCTCAAATGCTGGAACACATTTCTCAGCTTTCATTATAGATAAATCGTAACATTAGTTAAAGATTTGGAAAGCTTCTCGGTATTTTTTGAGTTAACAGTGAAGCTGTTACTATTACTGCACTCTGTCTATTTACAGTAACTCAGTAAAATATCTTTTCTATGGATGCTGAGAGCCATATTGAGTGCAGGGTAAGATTTTTAATTTTGAGAATTTTTAAGGCTTTATTTGAAAGAGTGCTGTAATATAACCACAACGGACTCAGCAGAGTTTCCAAAGCTGGTCTGGAGGTAGACGGCATGGCAAGCGGTGGCGGCACAGCAATCATGGTCATGAACCGAGACTCAAAGGTGGCTGGGCAGGCGTCCAGCGCAGCAGGCATGGTTGTGAGCCGGGGCTCAAGGCAGCTAGCGCGCAGGACCCCACCGCGTGCTGGCCTCTGTTGGAGATGGGGCAGCTCCCAACTGCACACTGGCCTCTGGCGTGGACACTGCTGGACCAGCTGACACAGCGACCTCCTTTGCCCGAACCCCTGGCTCAGACTGAGTCCTCCCCACACGCTGTCCACCAGCTCAGACCGAACAGAGTCCACTGGCGTGGCGACCCCATCTCTTCGCGCACCTGCCAGGCACTAGCCACTCCTACCCCAGGAGTGGGTACAGGCGCGGAGGCAGGCTGCGTCCTGGCTGGCTTCACCCTGGGGGCTGGCACAGTCTGGACCTCCTCCACTCCAGAGCTCCTCCAGTCCCACACAGTCGGGGGTGCCTCTGCAACCCCACTCGACCCAGTCCTGGAGTTCTTCCTGCTGGCAGCGCAACACAGATGCCTGTTCCCTCTGTGGGCCATCAGCATTTTTACTTTTTATTCCATTCTGTAGTATTATTTGTGTGGTTGGCTGGGTTATGTCGAAATACAAAAAGCATTATTGCATCTTCAGCTATTTGTAAGATGTAGAAAGTATGTTGAAACAGAAACAGATACATTAAGAAATTAATTAATTCAATAGGACAGCCATAGCTCATTTGTTTTTTTTTTGTTTTTTTTTCTATTTTACCAACACTATCCTGGGCTCAAACCCAATTGAGGCAGCTTTTTTGTAGAGGAGAAATCAGTGACAGTTTAAGAAAACAATAGAATTGATTTGAACAATACAGTAAAAGAACATTTTTAACATGAAGCGATGATCACATATTTACTTACAGGGCTTTGTTGGAGGCTTTGACCACTGGCAGCAGCCTCAGAAGAGCCTCCTCTGAAGCAGAGTATTTCTTCAGGTCAAACACATCCAGATCTTTTTCTGATGACAGTAAGATGAAGACCAGAGCTGACCACTGAGCAGGAGACAGTTCATCTGTGGAGAGACTTCCTGATCTCAGGGACTGTTGGATCTCCTCCACTAGAGAACGATCATTCAGTTCATTCAGACAGTGGAACAGATTGATGCTTTTCTCTGCAGACAGAATCTCACTGAGCTTCTCCTTGATGAACTGGACTGTTTCTTGATTGGTCTGTGAGCTACTTGCTGTTTGTGTCAAGAGACCTCGTAGGAGAGTCTGATTGGTCTTCAGTGAAAGACCCAGGAGGAAGCGGAGGAACAAGTCCAGGTGTCCATTTGGACTCTGTAAGGCCTTGTTCACAGCACTCTGGTAGAAATGTTTCTCTGCAGATTCTCCTGTTTCAGACTTCTGGAAGATTTTTTGTTGTTCTTCCAGCAGATTGAGTCCAGAGTTGATGAAGGTCAGATGGACATGAAGAGCAGCCAGAAACTCCTGAACACTCAGATGGATGAAGCAGAACACCTTGTCCTGGTACAGTCCTCTCTCCTCTTTAAAGATCTGTGTGAACACTCCTGAGTACACTGAGGCTGCTCTGATATCGATGCCACACTCTGTCAGGTCTAATTCATAGAAAATCAGGTTTCCTTTCTGTAGCTGATCAAAAGCCAGTTTCCCCAGAGACTCCATCATCTTCCTGCTCTCTGGACTCCAGTGTGGATCTGTCTCAGCTCCTCCATCATACTTGACCTTCTTCACTTTGGCCTGAACCACCAGGAAGTAGATATACATCTCAGTTAGGGTGTTGGGCAGTTGTCCCCCCTCTCTGGTTTCCAGCACATTCTCCAGAACTGTAGCAGTGATCCAGCAGAAGACTGGGATGTGGCACATGATGTGGAGGCTTCGTGATGTCTTGATGTGGGAGATGATCCTGCTGGCCTGCTCCTCATCTCTGAATCTCTTCCCGAAGTACGCCTCCTTCTGCGGGTCAGTGAAGCCTCTGACCTCTGTCACCATGCCAACACAGTCAGGAGGGATCTGATTGGCTGCTGCAGGTCGTGTGGTTATCCAGAGGCGAGCAGAGGGAAGCAGTTTCCCCCTGATGAGGTTTATCAGCAGCACATCCACTGAGGTGGACTTTCTAGGGTCAGTTAGGATTGTAGTTTTGTGGAAGTCCAGAGGAAGTCGACACTCATCCAGACCATCAAAGATGAACACAACCTGGAAGTCTTCAAAGCTGCAGATTCCTGCTTCTTTGGTTTCAGTAAAGAAGTGATGAACAAGTCCCACCAAGCTGAACTTTGCCTCTTTCAGCACATTCAGCTCTCTGAAAGTGAATGGAAATATGAACTGGATGTCCTGGTTGGCTTTGTCTTCAGCCCAGTCCAGGCTGTATTTCTGTGTTAAGACTGTTTTCCCAATGCCAGCCACTCCCTTTGTCAGCACTGTTCTGATTGGTTCATCTCTTCCAGGTGAGGCTTTAAAGATGTCTTCTTGTCTGATTGTTGTTTCTGGTCTGTCTGGTTTCCTGGATGCTGTTTCAATCTGTCTGACCTCATGTTCATCATTGACCTCTGCAGTCCCTCCCTCTGTGATGTAGAGCTCTGTGTAGATCTGATTCAGAAGGGTTGGGTTTCCTGCTTTAGCGATGCCCTCAAACACACACTGGAACTTCTTCTTCAACTTAGATTTGAGTTTGTGCCGGCAAAGTCCACTGGGAGATCCTAAAAGAACAAAGAAGAAAAAAAAATCATTAAAGGATCTATCAACTCTACATAATAATTTCTTTTCTGGTCAAAATAAGTGGTTGGGGTGAAATCAATTCTATATCTTGTGACACTAGTAAATTTTCCATTCATCTTTAATCGTCTTACTGCTTAACATACGGTCAGCCAATTTATCCTGCTTCATTCTCTTTAGGATGCGCGCTGTGATTTTTGCAAATGTCTCCTTGCTTGAAAGATGATAGTGGAACTTCTTCTTCTGCTTCGAGTTGAATTTAGGTTCACTCTTTTGATGAGCTGCTAAAAAACAAAACAAAAGAGAGGAACACATACATGAGTGCATCACTTAGTTGATGCAGGGTATTTCTTTATAACATCCAGTGTAATTTAACCCTTTTTTGTATTGATTAATTAATTCACTGTCACAGTGTGTAAGATTCTTATGTAACTTACATTGAGATAGGTTTTTACTAACTAAAAGGAATTCAATTCTGTTTTATATCTCCATCCATCCATTCGCTTCCGCTTATCCTTTTCAGGGTTACCCGGGGCGCTGGAGCCTATCCCAGCTGTCTTAGGGTGAGAAGCAGGGTACACTCTGGAGGGATTCGCTGTCTGTCAAAGGGCTAACACACAGAGACAGACAACCATTCACACTCACATTCACACCTATTGGCAATTTAGTGTTTCCAATTAACCTTACCCCGCTAACTGCATGTCTTTGGACTGTCCAAGGAAGCCAGAGTACCTGGGGAGAACCCATGCAAACCCGGGGAGAACATGCAAACTCCATACAGAAAGACCCGGGCCTGATGGTGGAATTGAACTCAGGACCTTCAGGACCTTCTTGCTGTGAGGCAACAGTTCTAACCACATCTTTCTACATCTCCAAATCACAACAACAGTCGTCTTGTATGATAAAGACCCTATAAAACCCTGAAACAATTATAATTACAACAGTACATACCAGTCAGCAATATTTATACACTGTAGGCTCGGTGGGAGTATGAAAGTGAAGGTGAAATAGGTGAAAGTAGTTATCAACAGGCAAACATAAAAATCAAACAAGACAAAAGACATAGGTACCTATCAGAATAAAAGCAGGGAGCAGAAAGTGACATAGGAAAACCCCAAGACAAAAAAGACAAGCTAAACAGGAATTAACTGTTACAGTAAAGATGAGACAGGGGGACAATCTAAATCTTAATGAACATTAAAACTGACTTATAACTTCAAAAATAACACTGAAACAATAATCCATCAAAACAGGCATCTGAAATTTCCATGAAATGAAGACTCCAAGCTTCAAATTGTAGGTTAACTGAAAAACAGAAACCAAAAATCTAAAAAAAATAATTAAGAATTCAAAACAGTGTTTTGTTTCTTTATAATGTTTTATATTCTTGTTTATTATGGTTATGTCTTTCATTAAGATTTGCCATTTGTTAGGTTTCTGTGCCTGCCCTGGTCCCACTTCTCTGTCTTCCCTCTGTCTGTCCATGATATCATGTCTGCTTGTGAGTCTGTGTTCACCTTGTCTCGTCTGTGTAATCAGTGTCAACCGTGTCGCTCAGCTATTTCCCCTTAGTCCTGTTCACCTCCTGTATTTAGCATCTGGGTCTTCCCCTGCTCATTGTCACATCGTCTCTCATTTCCCACTGTGTGTTCTGTCTGCCTATTTAGTTTAGTTTCTTTCCCAGTTTTGCCAGTCTTCTGTTTTGCCTGCAGTCCAACAATAAAGCTGAGTAGTTTTGAGTTCACTTTCGCCTCTGTGAGTCCTGCTCTTGGGTCCATCATTCATGCCTGCCTTCAGACAGCCATGATTTTTGGCTATGCCTAGAAATTCTGTCCATAATAATTACCAACAGAATCTGCTGTGAGGGGAGAAGAAACCGGGAGATTGATAGACGGATTGGTGTTGCGGCTGCAGTGATGCAGATGCTGTACTGGTCCATCATGGTGAAGCGAGAGCTGGCCATAAACCTTTCAATTTATCGATCAATCTACATCCCTACCCTCCCCTATGGTCACAAGCTGTGGGTAGTGACCAAAAGAATAAGATTGTGTGTACAAGCTGCAGAAATTATCTTTCTCTGAAGGGTGGCTGGACTCTCCCTTAGAGATAGGGTGAGGAATTCAGCCACCCAGCAGCGGCTCAGAGTAGAGTCAATGCGCCTCCACATTCAAAGGAGTCAGTTGAGGTGGTTCAGCTATCTGACAAGGATGCCCCCTGGGCGCCTCCTGGGTGAGGTGTTCCAGGCATGTCCAACGAGGAGCAGGCCCCAGGGCATGCCTGGACATGCCGGAGAGATTATATCTATCAACTAGCCCGGTAACGCCTTGGTGTTCCCCTGGACAAGCTGGAAGAGGTGGCCAGGTAGATGGAGGTCTGGGCTTCTCTGTTTAGGCCACTTCCCCATGACCTGACCATGGAAAAGCAAAAGAAAATGGATGGATGGATGAATTAATGGATGGATGGATGGATGGATGGTGCAAAATGTAGGTTTAAAATTTAACCCTTGTATGGTGTTCGGGTCTGTGAGACCCGTTTTCCGTTTTTTTCAAAAGAAAAATTAAATAATTAATTATTTTTTCAACCTGAAATTCATTGGCTTTGGCTTATTTTCTGTGAAGAACATAAATCCGAACTTGACCTCATACTGTACCTCCCCCCACGCATTTACATTACATACAAGGTGTTTGGGTCCACTGGACCCAGGTCTAATAAAAGTGTTGAAAGTGCAGGTCCTGTGTTCCCACACTCGGTCTTCCTCCTTTCTGGTGCTGCTGATAGTGTTTTTTTCCCCTCCCTCTCCCAAAGTTGCAACATTGTTGAAAATTCAGCTATCAACACCGTCTGCTCTTACATTCCCACACATTTTACCCTCTTTCTTGAGGGATCCAAATTTTATTTTCTCATACCCTGTCCCACCTGCAAATTAGGGGCATAATACTATAAATAAGACTTTGCCAGTGTGGTTCTTTATCACAACTGATCAAGATGGCAAAAGATTATCTGCTGAGAGGGCCATCCAATTGATTTTGGAAGAGAGAGGAGCTTCGGATGATGATGTTGACAAAGAGGTTTCAGAACATTTCACATTTCTGAAAATTCAGAGTCTGACAGTGACTTTGAAGAAGAGGATGAGGTTGAGCACCATTTAGTAACAAAACGAAGACGAGTACACAATCTGCAGCCAGCTCCAGGACCAGAACAAGCCCACCAGACAGCAAGTGAAGAAATATGGATGTCAATAACTGGTGAAATTGAATGGTCTTCTTGCCCAAGAAATGAGCCACCCTCCAGAGCTGTTACTGTGATAAGCCAGGTCAGGGACAGTTACTCATGTGCAGGACATCAAGTCTTCATTTGAGCTTTTCATCCCAGATTCCATCCAGAAAACGATTCTGGATTGCAGTAATCTGGGTGCCTCCTGGGTGAGGTGTTCCAGGCATGTCCCACCGGGAGGAGGCCCCAGGGCAGACCCAGGACACGCTGGAGAGATTATATCTCTTGGCTGGCCTGGGAACGCCTTGGTGTTCCCCCGGATAAGCTGGAGGAGGTGGCTGGGGAGAAGGAGGTCTGGGCCTCTTTGCTTAGGCTGCTGCCCCCGCGACCCGGCCTCGGATAAAGCGGATGAAGATGGATGGATGGATGGATGGATAGAAGGAAGGTGTGTTTTTGGAGAGAGGTGGAAGGAGATGGACCAAATTGATCTAAGAACCCCAAAGGCCTACTTTGGGGTTCTTATCCTTGCAGGAGTTTTCAGGTCCAAAGGGGAATCCAAGGCGTATTTCATTGTTATGGAAAAAGAGAATATCAAAATCATGATGACCAATTGGAGTGGTGATTTCTATGACTTTGTGTATATAATTTGGAATTTTGTACAAATGTAGGCCAATAAAAAATACATGACATCATTTCATTCATTTCAAAGGTTTATTTGCATGACGCACAATCAGACACAATTGAAAGGTATAAATGTGTTGTGCAAGAAACTAATTCAAACGTGGTGCAGATGTGTGTCACAGGTTGATCTGGCTGTAGGTTGTGGCACTTGGCGCTGGTTGATTTGAGTCCATGTTAGTGCACAAAGTAAACTGCTCGCTGTAGTTGTGGAGCAAAAACACTGAAACCGGAGAAATAAAACGTGCGAGGGGAACGATAACGACGACAAGAGTCTCCCGATCGTTTACTCTTGCTGTCCTGTGAACAACATCGGCGTGGTGTTAATTGTTTGCTGTTTTCGCGATCACGTCGCGCATGAGGATATCACCAGGTAAACTCGCCACATTTTTAAACATTTTGTTGTTCAACAGCATCAAGACTGACAGAGTGTTTTTGAGATAACCTCAGAAGTGTCACAGATGACACATTTGGGTTTTTTTTGCTGGTTTGTCGGTAGCAGCTCCTGAAATGCAAGACTGCCACACATCTGTTCGACTAACGCCAGTTGATCTAAACGCCAGTAGATCTCGAACACCCGTGAAGTATCGCGTCGGTGGATAACAGAGATCTCCGAAAACGTGGAAGCACTTTTGCAAATTTGTGATATTTTGATAAATTAAGTAGATATTTGAGCATTACACAGCTACATTCTCGCCTGAAAATATCTTAAAATGTTATTTTGTGACCCAGAAAGGGTAGTCTGGGGAAAAGGAGGATCACATTTTTCGGCCACGGCTGTCGGAGCCTGTGCGTACTTGTAAGCGCGGCAATGGCGGAGGAGCGCGGCTAAAAAACTTATTACTTTTTCTGGGTCACAAAATAAACTTTTAAGATATTTTCAGGTGAGAATGTAGCTGTAATCACTAGAAGAAGCCTACGCGTCCCACCAAGATCAGGAAACATTGAACAAAATATGCAAAACAAAACTAGAATTAAATGAGATAATTAAAAAAAAAACAAAATTCTTAGTACAAAGACTACGC